GTGTAGTGTATGTTATAGTGTATAGTAGTGTATAGTGTAAAGTGTAGTGTATTGTATTGTAGTGTATAGTGTAGTGTATCGTAGTGTATAGTGTAGTGTATATTGTAGTGTATAGTAGTGTATAATGTAGTGTATAGTGTAGTGTATAGTGTAGTGTATAGTAGTGTATAGTGTATTGTAGTGTATAGTGTAGTGTATAGTAGTGTGTAGTGTAGTGTATAGTGTAGTGTATAGTGTAGTGTATAGTAGTGCAGTTTATAGTAGTGTATGTTGTAGTGTATAGTAGTGTATAGTGCAGTGTATAGTAGTGTATAGTGTAGTGTATAGCAGTGTATAGTGTAGTGTATAGTGTAGTTTATAGTGTAGTGTATTGTATAGTAGTGTAGTGTATAGTGTAGTGTATCGTAGTGTATAGTGTAGTGTATTGTATAGTAGTGTAGTGTATAGTGTATCGTAGTGTATAGTGTAGTGTATGTTGTAGTGTATAGTCGTGTATAGTGTAGTGTATAGTGTAGTGCATAAGATGAACGTTGAGATTGATAAGGGACACGAGGTGACCATTAATGTCTGAATTGGTCTGTAATAAGGTAGGGCACTGATCAGGGTTGACAGGTATGTATTAGTGTATAGTGTAGTGTATAGTAGTGTATAGTGTAGTGTATAGTAGTGTATAGTGTAGTGTAATAAGGTAGCGCACTGATAAGGCTTTGACAGGTATGGATGTCCTTCCGTCATCATAATCGTCTTCGTCATCATCCTAATAATAATCTTCATTATTAAATAATGAGACGTCATCTTTATCATCATCAACCTAACCAGTCATCATCAGCAGCCTAACCAGTCATTATCAGCCTAACCAGTCATCAACATCATCATCAGCTTCATCAGTCATCAGCATAATCATCAGCCTAGCCAGTCATCATAATCAGCCTAGCCAGTCATCATAATCATCAGCTTCATCAGTCATCATAATCAGAGCCTAACCAGTCATCATCAGCAGCCTAACCAGTCATCATCATCAGCCTAACCAGTCATCATCAGCAGCCTAACCAGCCATCATCATCAGCCTAACCAGTCATCATCATTACTCGCTGCGAGCCACTACCGCTGAAGCCACTGCCCGGTTAGTAACTAACTTAAGATAAATAAATAAATACAGTTTAACTTAACTTCTCCTGCTCTGCAGCGCTGAAAACATCAATAACGAACACCGTAACAGGCGCCTGTATAATATTAACAATATTCAGATTTATCTTTTTTTATTATTTATCGATGATAATAATCAAGATTGTTTATAAAATATGGACCCGATTTTAAATCGCTATATCTCTGCAAGCACGAACCGCCCATGAATGTAACCCTGACCACTTGAAAGGGCGGGGCATAGAGAGGGCGGGGCATCGAGAGGGCGGGGCATATAGAGGGCGGGGCATAGGGAGGGCGGGGCATAGAGAGGGCGGGGCATAGAGTTTAAAATGATTACCGCTACATGCCTCTACTAGCGCACAAACAGCCCCTACCCTCAGTCATTCTCTAGATGGTGACGCCAGTGAACAAACAGCCCCTAGCCTCAGTCACTCTCTAGATGGTGACCCCAGCACACAAACAGCCCCTAGCCTCAGTCATTCTCTTGATGGTGACCCCAGCGTACAAACAGCCCCTAGCCTCAGTCATTCTCTTGATGGTGACCCCAGTGAACAAACAGCCCCTAGCCTCAGTCACTCTCTAGATGGTGACACCAGTACACAAACAGCCCCTAGCCTCAGTCACTCTCTAGATGGTGACCCCAGCTTACAAACAGCCTCTAGCCTCAGTCATTCTCTAGATGGTGACCCCAGCTCACAAACAGCCCCTAGCCTCAGTCATTCTCTAGATGGTGACACCAGCGAACAAACAGCCCCCGAGCCTCAGTCATTCTCTAGATGGTGACCCCAGTGAACAAACAGCCCCTAGCCTCAGTCATTCTCTAGATGGTGACCCCAGTGAACAAACAGCCCCTAGCCTCAGTCATTCTCTAGATGTTGACCCCACAACACAAACAGCCCCTAGCCTCAGTCATTTTCTAGATGGTGACCCCACAACACAAACAGCCCCTAGCCTCAGTCATTCTCTAGATGGTGACCCCAGTGAACAAACAGCCCCTAGCCTCAGTCATTCTCTAGATGGTGACCCCAGCACACAAACAGCCCCTAGCCTCAGTCATTTTCTAGATGGTGACCCCAGTGCACAAACAGCCCCTAGCCTCAGTCATTCTCTAGATGGTGACCCCAGTGAACAAACAGCCCCTAGCCTCAGTCACTCTCTAGATGGTGACCCCAGCACACAAACAGCCCCTAGCCTCAGTCACTCTCTAGATGGTGACCTCACCGCAACACAAGGGGCGTTTTGTGTTATGCAGTTCAGCAAAACTAAATCCGTAATTGCGTTGCAGCGGCGCGCGTTTCAACGGCGTTTTAGCATTGATCCGCCAATGTCAAAGAGCGTTCGTCGTTGGTGCCGACGATTTGAGGACACGGGCTGCTGTTGATGTAAGGGGAATAGAGCACAGGGCGACCACGCACCTCAGAGGGAAACGTGAGAAGGGAGGCGTTTTGGGACGAATTCAACTCACGTCTCGATGTTGCCGGTACAGCAGGTGGAGGGCACACAAAGAGCATTTATAAAATGTTTAGTTAAACTTGATGACTCATTAAACCGTGTGCCACTGTTTCTGTAATTGTAACATGTTGTCATCGTGAAATATACTGCTTTGAAAATTGGATCCATCGTTTTTCAAACGTCTTGTATCATCCGTATTTAATACATGGCCGTGAATTGCAGCGCCTTTGGCGGTTGCTGGAGAGATGACGTGAGCCCAAATGCAGCGCCGACACGTGACGACACCCACCCAGACAGATCGATATATAATAATAATAAATAATCTATCGATACAGCACTAACCGGTGTGCATTAGTCGAGAGGTCCATGATCGATTCTAATCCATGGACCCCGACAAAGGGGAGGGAGGGTGAGATGGGTAAGCACAGCATGGGGTATCTAAGCCGCGATAAATATTTGATCCATGACACAGGTGTCTTGGGTTAGATCGCGTAAATATATAAATGTTGTGTCGTTAAACCCACCACCACCCGGCACAGCTAACTAGTAAGGGTTGTCACGTTGACAGAACGTGGCCAATTCATCACTAGTACAACACTCGCGTGTAGTGTAATGTGTCGTGTATAGTGTAGTGTATAGTGTAGTATACTAGTACAGCACTAGTGTGTAGTGTATAGTGTAGTATACTAGTACAGCACTAGTGTGTAGTGTATAGTGTAGTATACTAGTACAACACTAGTGTGTAGTGTATAGTGTAGTATACTAGTACAGCACTAGTGTGTAGTGTATAGTGTAGTATACTAGTACAGCACTAGTGTGTAGTGTATAGTGTAGTATACTAGTACAGCACTAGTGTGTAGTGTATAGTGTAGTATACTAGTACAGCACTAGTGTGTAGTGTATAGTGTAGTATACTAGTACAGCACTAGTGTGTAGTGTATAGTGTAGTATACTAGTACAACACTAGTGTGTAGTGTATAGTGTAGTATACTAGTACAGCACTAGTGTGTAGTGTATAGTGTAGTATACTAGTACAACACTAGTGTGTAGTGTATAGTGTAGTATACTAGTACAGCACTAGTGTGTAGTGTATAGTGTAGTATACTAGTACAGCACTAGTGTGTAGTGTATAGTGTAGTATACTAGTACAGCACTAGTGTGTAGTGTATAGTGTAGTATACTAGTACAGCACTAGTGTGTAGTGTATAGTGTAGTATACTAGTACAGCACTAATGTGTAGTGTATAGTGTAGTATACTAGTACAGCACTAACCGGTGTGTTGGAGAGCCAAGCCACAACGTTTACAATCTGGGTACGACGTTTCGCCGGTAATTACAACCAGCTTCATCAGGCGACAGACAGATTTGTGGAGAAGTCCATCTGTTTCGTTCCTTAATTAGAGGCGTAGATGAGGTGACCGCGCTTCTGCGCTCTTCTTGAGCGAAGTGGAGAGAGGGGTTAATGAATCAACGCACATTTTGCATGCGCATTATGCGAGCCCATTGACCCTGTACTTCCTGTCCATTGTGTGCACTAAAATAACCGTACCAACGGGAATCCCTATTGAAGTATTGGTGGCCTGTATGTGAGTTTAGGTACTATTGTGTTGATTGTGCGTCGAACTGGGACGCCCCAACGGTAGTCGGTCCGTCGCCTGCAGTGAGATCGCCTGGTATGCAGGAGGTCGTGGGTTCAATCCAGACCCTGACGCCTGTTGTATATTTGCAGTGTCTCTCTCTCTCTCTCCCTACCCCCAGTGCCGGATTATCCTCGAAGCACAAGTAGCTACCTATGTAGCAGCTACTACATATGTGTAGTAGCTACAGGCCCCGCACTTTCAAGGGCCCCGCGCTAGATGCTTTCAAGTTATCAATTCCGGTTCAGTGATTCTGCACTTGCTCTATTACTATAGTACTATACCGCCTTCAACTTTTATGAACGGCCGGGTGTTTAAGGTTAGCGATTTGTCGTATCATCTGTCTGTATAGCAAATGAAAAAATACAATTACTTTACTATGAAAGTAAAAAAAAAGTGTTTATAATATTTATTTACATATTTAGGGCAACCTTTATAACATCATTTGCTACAGGCCCCGCACCTAGCTTATTCCGGCATTGGCTACTCCCACGTGGTCGTGTGGATTTTTCTCCGGGTCCTCCGGATTTTCCCTCCACATTTAGAATCAACATCATCACACGCCCTTGGAGTATTTTTGGCTGCTTATAAATTTCCACACAGCGACGGTGATGATGATGTTGATGATTAAGCCACTTCGTTGAGCTTATCATTTGTGATAACCAGGTCGCTTCTGAACAAGAGCTACGTAGCTCAGTGGGCCTTAACCTGGTAACACAAAAATTAGTTTAGTAGCTTTCAGTTCTCCCCACTCCTCTCTTCTTCGTTCATAACTTTCATCCCCGTATCCACTGCTGGATGATAATGGCCTCTCCAAGCCACCACCTGCCATCGAGTCCAACCACATTCGGCTTTACCTGGTCAATTGAAAAAAAATAGTTTTTTCGAAGCGAGCTCGACTCAGCCATTGATGAGTACCTGATGTGTAAACGTCAGCACCGGGAAGACGAAGGTGGCCGGGTGTGGTCCCAGCTACTCACCCTCCTCCCCCCCCCCCCTCGTGTGCCATGCCAGGCTTCATTCGGTGTTAAGACTATAGGGGGGAGGGGGGAGGTTTATCTTGTACCTTTGTTATTGACACATCTATTGAGGTTTCTGTTGTCTGTGTATTTCTTTAGGAGGTAACACGCGTGGACCGTGCAAGCGCTGCTGGATCAGGCATCTGAATGGTGGGGGTGGTGGTTGTGTTCATTAATGAACTTGGGGGTGCAGAGTGGAGACTCGAGCCCCCATCTGAACCCGGCCCCCCCTGGGCGAGGGGGAACAGAGCCCCCCACTCTCCTCGGCGGGGTCGTGTTTCAGCGAAAAGTTGCCGAGGAACACGGACGGGAGTGGCGCGTGCTGCTGATGAAGCTGCTGCTGCTGCTGATTATGATAATGATACTGCTGATGATGCTGATGGAACAGCATGTGTTGATGTGCGCCCTCGCTCTGCAAATGTGGCCCTTGTTGCTCCTGCTGCTGCTGATGATGATGATTCTGATGCTGCTGCTGCTGATGATGGTGGTGGTGGTGTTGATGATGAGCGTTGTGAACTCTGCCTGGCAGATAAGTGCTCGTGGCTCCTTGCTGCTGCTGATGATGATGATGATGACTCTGACGTTGCTGATGCTGCTGCTGCTGCTGCTGATGATGCTGCTGCTGCTGATGCTGATGATGATGATCCTTCTGCGGGTCAGGCCCACCCATGCACGCCGCCTGTCCGTACGAGGGACTCGGCGTGGCGGCCCACGCCGAGGGCATCACGACGCCGCGCGGAGCCACGAGGTGGGGCACAGCGTGCGCGTCGGGCAGCGGCGGTGGCGACGGGGCCGCCGGCAGCTGCTCTGGGGCCACCCCTTGCACGCAACCCGCCACCAGGTTGGCCGTCGCTTGCGACAGCCCGCGGCAGAGCGTGGCCGCGAATGCTCGCGGGTCCGGGTTGGACTCCGAGCGCAGGGCGACGGTGAGGGCGGCGATGTAGTTGCCGGCGAGGCGAAGCGTCTCGATCTTGGAGAGGCGCAGCTGCTGCTGCTGATGTTGTTGTTGTTGCTGTTGTTGTTGCTGCTGCTGCTGCTGTTGTTGTTGTTGTTGGGCCCCGGCACGGCACGGCACGACTCGGCGCAGGCCGTCCAGGGCCGCGTTCAGGTCGTGCATGCGGTGGCGTTCGCGCGCGTTCGCCTTCATGCGGCGGACTCGGTAGCGCTCGGGAAGCCTCTGTGGCCCCGGCGTGGCGAGGCCACCGCCACCACCGCCACCACCGCCGCCACTACCACCGCCACCACCGCCACTAACGCCACCGCCACCACCACCGCCGCCACAACCACTACCACCACTAACGCCACCACCCATCCGTTTTCTTCTCCTGCTGTTGCTGCTGCTACTGCTGCTGCCCCCCGAATCTGATGGTGGCGGTGGTGCCCCCACCGACCCACGTGACTGCCGCCGAGTGGCCGGAGCCGTCCCCGCGGGCCGCCTCGCCGGGTCGCCAACTCCATCGTCGCCGCAGCTGTCGTCGTGGCCGCCTTCATCCTCGTATTCCTCCTCCTCCTCTTCATCCTCGTCGTCGTCATCATCCTCGGGGCCGCGCGCCGTCGTGACCTCGCGGTGTCCCGGGCTCGCCCGGCACGCCGACTCCCAGTCCCGCGGGACCCCGACGGCAGGGGACAGCTCGGGCATGGCTCGCCACTTCCTCGCCGCCACCACCACCGCCACGTGGAACCCCTCGAGGCTCAACGAGACCCCTGGGGCAACCGGCGAACGGCGGCGCTTCTGGGCTCCCTCTTCCTCTTCGTCCTCTTCCTACTTCCTACTCGTCCTTCCCAATCCTCTTTCTCCACCCCCTCCCCTCGTCCCTGCAAAGAGAGATGAACAAACGTGGCACGACACGAGTGTTAACGATGCTCAATTCGCTGTGACATCAGCACTGGGGTCGGGTCTGGTGCTGGCCCCGCCACCCCCACGTATCCCCCCATCTCACGTGCGCCGTGCCGGCCTTAATAATATAATTATATAATTGCTCACGCACAGCGCTTGCCCCGACAGTCCGTGCAGGCTATGTGTGGGGATCTTCGTCTTTGCTGTGTGCGATGTGATAGTTTGTATTCGTGCTAATTTCTCTCACCCGTTTGTCTTTCTTCATTCCGAACCGAACCGTGATCATGGCCGCGTTAATAATTCAGCACGTGGCATTAAACGGCTCGCTCCTTTGTGCGTGCAAAGACAAAGGTCCCCCGTGTAGCCTTCACCAGCCTGTTGGGAGCAAGTGCTGTGAGCGGGTAGCAGCTATGAAGGCCGGAACTGCACACGAGGGGGTGGGTGGCCGGCACCACGCCCGACCGCCTTTGTCTCCCCAGTGAGGGTGTTTACACACCGCACCTGTGTGTAACACAGTATTGTGTGTTACTGTCACACAAAGTAAACCTCACCACTAACCCGTACCCATCCTCCCCTGACTCCTCACCAGTGCCCCTTCTGCTCACCACCAAACGCCCCTCCCATCCCCCACGCGTGCCACACCCCCCAGGTGCGAGCGTGAATAATGAATGCGCCTTGCACGGGAATTAATATTTCATTGGGGGGGGGAGGCGATTACGAAAGGAGACGGAGCCGATGGACTCGGCTAATGGGATCCGGAAATTTAAAAACAAAACGAGGGACCGAAATAACACACGGGGTACAGGAGGTCGTGGGTTCGATCCTGACGCCTGCTGTAGTTGTGGAGTTTGCGGTGTCTCTCTCTCATCATCATCACGGTGGCTAGGAGATGTTAACTACCTCGCCTGGTATACAGGAGGTCGTGGATTCGATCCCGATCCTGACGCCTGCTGTAGTTTTGGAATTTGCGGTGTCTCTCTCTCATCATCATCACGGTGGCTAGGAGATATTAACAACCTCGCCTGGTCTACAGGAGGTCGTGGGTTCGATCCCGACCCTGAGCCTGCTGCTGCATATTTGGGTTAATAAGAAAGGGGGTTTGTTTGGGTTAGAGCGCTTAAGTATGAATGTGTTACTCTTTGGTTCTTTCGGTGAAGTAAAAAAACGGCTCACTCATTCATCCTTACCTGATGATGGTTGCTTGTGTTGCAATCGAAACGTCGTATTCCATTATTATTTGATTTTATTTTCTACGTGACTTTTACCGAAAGAACCAACGAGCAAATTCCTGCAGTCACGAAAGCTTCGAATCTATAAATGTGTCGCGAATCCGCCACCACCCGACACAGCCAATCAGTAAGGGGTTGTCACGTGAACAAAAGGTACCAATTAGTTACCACTTCAACCCACCGGTGTGTTGGAGAGTAAATCCCCAACATTTACAATTTGTGGTACAGCGACGTTTCGCCGGCAATTAACATCCTGCATCATCGGGTGATGTGGGCCAGCAGCATTGTGAGATCTGCGTCTACATTCGGAGTTTGCGTGTCTCTCTCTCTTTCTCTCTCTCTTTTTTTTCTACGATAAGAGGAAACAAGAAGATGCTCGGTGTAGTCGGCACTTTGCTTCGTTCATCATTTCGGTTTTTTTTGTTTGTTTTTTAAATGCTTTGCTTTATGTGCCCCCCCCCCCTATTTAAATGAAAGATTTCACGAAATATTTCACTCTCTGCTCTCCTTATACCCCTTCCCTCTCCCTCTACCCCCTCTCTCTCCCTACTCTGTCTATGTTCCCCCTATGTTTTGCATGTAAAATTTGTTATTTATTTATTTACTACGACAATTGCTCTCTCTCTTTGTCTCAGTCTCCGTGGTCGCGATGATTTTTACCCGGAGTCCTCCGGTTCCCACCCCCCACCCCCCACCACCCACCCCCCACCCCCCACCACCCACCACCCTGCCTCCCACATTTAGAATCCACATTTACGCGTTGAGAGCAATTTGGCTGCTATGAATTTCCACGTGGTGATGATGATGATGTTGATCCACTTCAGTGATAACAAGGTCCCCTCTGAAAATTTGCTCCGTAAACGAGTGCAATTTGTACCGCCATGCTCTCTCTACGTGAAACAGAAATTGTTGACTCGCTTAACCGTTCCCCTATGCTACTCTTCTATCCTTGATTGTCGATTGTTTTGTTGATGTCAATAACTCGACCCGTGCCCCTTTGCTGGACATCTGTGAGAAAAAAAAGTTTCATGGCTCAAGGGATTTCCCCCTTGCAGTGAAACATTAAGATTCGAAATCCGCTTGAAGGCTCTCACGCTGTAAACCCCACCTCCGAGTAGAACGGTTGGCTTTGTACGGTGCGAAGGAAGTTAAACATCTACACACACACACGCTCGCACACACGTACGCGCACGCACACACACACAACAACCGCCATTCGCCACTAAGTGGCAGTGACGTCACCACGACGCTTGTGCCAGGCCATGTGCACCTTGAGGCCACGTGAAGTGTCGAACGCCCGCGGGCAGGAGGTCACGGGGTATACCCAGGTGCCACGGGTCGACTGACTGAGACGACTGGCTGATGCACCACCTGTGCCCCCTACTGTGCCAACCTGCTGTGCTTTAGCCACCCTGCGCTGCGCTCGTTGTTGTGAGCGTCGCTCCTCCGCCCTCCGTTGTTGTTGGAGGCCGACTGCCTCCAACTGCCCAGTAGCGTCCTTCACGAGCCTCCTCCACAGAGGCCGATCTTGACACCGCTGGTACCAGTCATCGGCAAGTCCACTCAGCTCCACGTCCTCCTGTACCACATCACTCCATCTCTTCTCTAGCCCGTGCCGCGACCGTTTAGCCCCCTCGATCCGGCCGAACAAAAGCTGTTTGGGCATGTGGTGGCTGGGTATGCGGGCTACATGACCCAGTCAACGCAGCCTTGCCTGTCGGAGGATCTCACCGATGGGACTTTATCCAGATCTTTGAAGGATTTGTGAGCTCCTCACACAATCCAGCCTGGTTAAACCCAGGATGGATCGTAGACAGGCCAGCCTGTTTCTAACCGGCGAAGATGTTCCATTAGGGTGGTCCACTTTTCGCAAGCGTAGAGAAGGGAGGGAATGACCGTGGCTGAGAAGACCTGCAGCTTCGTGCGGAGCGACAGACCCGGTAGCTTCCACACAGCGTTACGCAACCGATGATTCGGAGTGAGACCTCTGCTGTTAAACCAGAGCCGGTCATGAGCACACTGCCCAGGTATGGAAAACTCTCCAATCTCTACACAACTACCCTATCACCAATTTGGAGTTGTGGGGGTGGAGTGTCCGATGGTACAAAATACCTAGGGAGGTGCTTAGTTTTGGTGGGGCTGATGGTAAGGCCCCACCTCTTCGTGGCAAGCTCCTGGGTCAGCAGCAGCTCCTCCAACTCCTCCTGTGAGTGAGCAGCAATCACCAGATCATCGGCATAAATATGTAGCGCTGTTGATGGGCTGCACACCCGGGCATCGATCAGCCTCCCATTGTATCTGTATCAGATGAAAATTCCTCCGGTACAGAATTTGAAGGCTTCACGAACTACGTGGTCGAAATAGATGTAAAATAATGTGGGAGCCAGAGGACACCCCTGTCGCACCCCAAGGTGAACAGGGAATGGCTCCGACTCCCGGCCATGTAGTTTTACCCGGGCCCGCTCACCATCATGAAGGTCCGTAATGATCGTGAGCAGCGGGTCAGGGACCGAAAGCACGAAGAACAACCCAGAGCCCAGGCCTACTGATGGCATCATAGGTATTGACCAGGTCAATAAAGCAGAGATGTAGGTCTTGTTGGAATTCCCTACACCTCTTCTGTAGCAGACGGACAGAAAATATGGCATCTGTGCAGGACCGCCCTTTTCTGAATCCGCCTAGCAAGGCGATGTTGAATAATCCTTGCCAGGACCTTTCCCCGCACACTGCCGAGTGAGATGCCCCTGTAGTCTGTGCGGTCCCCCTTCTTAAAGAGGGGGACCACCAGGGCATCCTTCCAATCCTGTGGAACCCGTCCAGTGGCCCAGACCGTTGTTATGATGTCATATAGGGCAGTCTGTGCACAAACTTCCACCCTCCCTCAGCATTTCGTTTGGGAGATCATCTCTGCCCGGTGCCTTTCCTGGTCTCAGACTCTGGATGGCACCTCAGCCAACCACTCACAGGGGGTGACTTCTTCCAATATTTGAGGCACCGCAGCCCCGGCAGGGTCATCCTCACTTTGTGCCACGATGTTTTCCAGGCTGCGGGGTTTTCCCTCCCCCAGGACCTCACATAAATGCTCAGCAAATCTGCGAACCTGTTCCTGGGGGTCGGAGATTGCTCTAAACGCGTGATGCTGATTTCGATGTG